CTGCTTCCCTCTGCTCTCCTCTGGATAACCACACGACCTGCAGCGGCCAATCAGATCCCTCCTCAGTGTGTTGACATGGTAACAGAGATCAGAGGATTCGCTGACCCACAGAAGGAGGAGTACTTCAGGAAGAGATTCAGAGATGAGGAGAAGGCCAGCAGGATCATCTCCCACATCAAGACATCTAAAAGTCTCCACATCATGTGTCGCATCCCAGTGTTCTGCTGGATCTCTGCTACGGTTCTGGAGGATCTGTTGGAGACCAGAGAGAAAGGAGAGCTTCCCAACACCCTGACTGAGATGTACATCCACTTCCTGGTGGTTCAGACCAAAGTGAAGAAGGTAAAGTACGATGAAGGAGCTGAGACAGATTCACCTTGGAGTCCAGATAACAGGAAGATGATCGAGTCTCTGGGAAAACTGGCTTTTGATCAGCTGCAGAAAGGAAAGCTGATCTTCTATGAATCAGACCTGACAGAGTGTGGCATGGATATCAGAGCAGCCTCAGTTTACTCAGGAGTGTTCACACAGATCTTTAGAGAGGAGAGAGGGCTGTACCAGGAGAAGGTGTTCTGCTTCGTCCATCTGAGTGTTCAGGAGTTCCTGGCTGCTCTTCATGTCCATCTGACCTTCATCAAGGAAGCAGAAGAACAAACCCTCCCAAAGTTTAAAACAAGTAAAGACAAAGAACAGCATTTCTACCAGAGTACAATAGACATGGCCTTAGAGAGTCCAAATGGACACCTGGATTTGTTCCTCCGGTTCTTTCTGGGTCTTTCAATGAAGACCAATCGGGCTCTATTGAATGGTCTGATGAAACAAACAGAACCGAGCTCAGAGAGCAACGACCAAACAATCCAGTACATAAAGGGGAAGACGAGCCAAGAGTTGACTGCTGACAGAATCATCAATCTGTTCGACTGTCTGAATGAAATGAATGATTGTGCCCTTGTTGAAGAGGTCAAACAGTCCATGATGTCAGGAAGCCTTTCCTCAGAAAATCTGTCTCCAGCCCAGTGGTCAGCGCTCGTCTTCATCTTACTGTCATCAGAAAGAGACCTGGATCTGTTTGACCTGAAGGAATTCTTCAATTCCAATCAGGCGTGTCTGAAGTTGCTCCCCGTTCTCAAAGAGTCGAACAAAGCTCTGTGAGTATAAGACACACGTTATTGATCCAGTAAAAATAGATGACTGAACTGCTTCTGACAGGGGGGCGGGGCTAACAATTAGGCAATACTAGGCAGTTGCCCAGGACCACAAGTTCCTGGGGGGCCCATAAATCTCCTTTTACATGTATGGTTAATACAGTTATTCATTATTTGTGCACATTAATTATGTTTCCTTTCGCTAAAATGCCATCAGAACGCTTATATTGTGTCTCAGCCCCCCCCCTTCAGTGTCCACCATATTGGATCAGTCCATTTGCTGCACATGTTCAGAAAGGTCCAAACAGACAGCAGCAAACCATTTGAAAACAAACCATGCAAAGAGCAGTGTTGCCAACTTAGCGCTTTAGTCGCTATATTTAGCCACTTTTCAGACCCCTAGGGCCCCACATTTCCTAAATTAGCCCCTGGTATCTGGTAGAAAATGTTAGACTCTAACCAGGACTGCTCCTACTTCTGTCTTCTCAGATTAAGTGTCTGTAATCTCCTGCCCGAAACGTGTGAGGACCTTTCCAGAGTTCTTTGTTCTCATTCTTCTCACCTGAGAGAACTAGACCTGAGTAACAACGACCTGCAGGATTCAGGAGTGAAGCTCCTGTCCGAAGGACTCGGGAGTCCAGAATGTCTGCTGGAGTCTCTAAGGTAAAGGCTCACAATTGAGATTACAGCCCTCCAACACACAACATTATTTCAATGTATCACACAGAGTAAAAGGGAAGAAATTTGCATCCTGTCCTGCAAAGGATTGTGGGATTCCTTATGGCGCCAGATAGGAACATCAGTAGGTCCTTAAATCAAAGGAACTATAGATAGGAAGGATCCAGCTTCCTTTACTACCTCTTCCCTGACTCCCACTGATGCAGATCCACTTTCAGTTACTGATTCACAGATTCAGATTGATTCTCTTTCCTGAATCTCTTGCTTTTGACCTACAGGGATCTGTTTCTTCCTTTTCTCAGTGATTCTCTCGTCTTTTCTGATTTGCGTCTCATTTTATTATTTTTGAAGTCTCTATTTATATATCTACTGAAAACTGAAAATGATGGATCTGTCCAGCTATCAACGTTATCAATACATCCGCTGCAAAAACAACCTAGAAATAAGTAGATTTCTTAAATTAAGTTTATTTACCCTTTATTTAAGAAGGTAAATAAGATGATTTGCCAATGGAGTAAAGCTCCTTCACTCTTAAAATGAGATAATATGCATTTGTAGATGGAAGACGGAAGAGGATTACGGCCACTGAAAAAATAAAAAGTAAACTGATTTTTAAATTTTATTTCAGTTTAATATGGGAAAAAAAAGTCAGAATTTTGACTTGAATCTCAGAATTGTGGATCTTAATGTAGATGGACACCATGGAGTAAGAGATAGATGTGAGTAGTTTGG